CTGTGGAGGTACATATCCCTGTACTGGTCAAGCTTTCTCTTAAATGAGTCCACGGATGAGGACATGACGACGTCCACAGGCAGGGCGTTCCATGCCTTTACCACTCTGTGACTGAAGAAGGACCTCCTTGCGTCCAGTCTCGCTCCCGTCACACGTAGTTTTAGGGGGTGTCCTCTCAAGCTAGTAATGGTGGCCAGCTCAAAGAAATCGCCGGATGCGAGGCAGCAGTCCTGACCCCGTAACATTCTATACGTTTGAATTAAGTCGCCACGGAGTTGTCTGTAGTCCAAGGGAAAGAGGTTAAGATTTGACAGTCTAGTTTTGTAAGGTAGGTTTTTATGACCTCTGACAAGTTTGGTTGCCCGTCTTTGGACTTTTTCGAGGGTGGTACGATCCTTAACAGTCCAGGGTCTCCAAGCCTAAATGGCAAATTCTAACTGTGGACGCACAAACATCCCGAAGACCTTGCGAAAGCAATCTTCGTCGAGCATGGCAAATGCCCGCTTAATGTGATATAAGCTGGACATTGCGGATTTCGCTGCTTTCAAGCAGTGGAATGATGGCTTTAGTGAAGATGTTATCCACACCTCTAGGTCTTTCTGAACCTCTACCAATGGCAGCGGTGTGTCATTTAGATAGTACGTCTGCCGGTGCGCAGAGCTGGTTCTGCCAATCCTCAGAATGTTGCATTTGGTAACATTAAATGGGAGGAGCCAGTGGCCTGACCATTTTTCGAGTCGGTCTAAGTTTGCCTGTAAATTTGCTTCATCGTCCTCGTTGCGGATGACGGTCCAAAGCTTTATATCGTCAGCAAACATGGCAATTTTGCAGTCCAATCCATGGATACAATCATCAATATAGATGAGGAAGAGGATAGGACCAAGAATTCTTTGTTTACTAAGTCATGCGTATAAGCCAAAACAGATTTCGGCCTATGTAAGGTACAATTGGGCAACTAAGATAATAATAAAAAACGTACAAACTTCAACGATGGATACCCTAGACAAAGAATTCCCTTGCAATTGTTCGAGCAAATTGAATTCCCGTCTCAAGGTCAGAATATAGAAACTAATTAACTAAATGAAAGGGGAAGGGAAAGGGGAATGTCAACAGGGGCCATATGTGGAAGCATTTGCGAAAAGGACGTGGAGAACTCCAACGCTGATCAGTTGGATACAAACTTGCTTTGAGAAATGGAACAGCGAAGTTCGCGACTTATCAGTAGGCCTTAAAGTCTAACAGGGAATTGCTAATGCTGCATAGATATGATCCATTTAGTTAATATTTTCGGTTAACTATGAAAATTTTGACTTTGAGAAACATAGAATAGAGACCAACAGCCTTATCTTTCTTTCATTAAAGGCATAAGCTGGGTTGCATTCTAGTTGGCACATTTGAAATGATGTCAGAAGCAAGGGTTGGGAGCTTACAGAAAATTCCTGTCATCACGCCGCATATTTCTCTCCGATACCTCCTTGCTGGGCGCCCAATTTCAAATGCTGAGAAACAGAGAGACTTCGGCGCCCTAATGACTTCCCCTTTTAAACCATCATCATGGTGTCAAAAGGCAGTCAAACCCGTTACGCGGGTGCTATTTGCGCTAAGGTGAGGATTTGTGCAGATGGATAAGGAGCTGTTCGGAATAACCTACGGGGCATTTGTTCGGTCTCACTTACAGTATGTTGTCCAAGCCAAATGACCGTGGTTTAAGAAGGATTATCAACAGCTGGTAGGAGTGCCGTTGAGGGCTACGAAAATGGTCAAGAATTTTCGGCATCTGCCTAACAAATCCAGATCTGCTGGACTTAGACTATTTTCTTTCATTTATGGGCAACTGCGCGGCGACCTCACTCAGACCTTCTGCACTGTCCAACGCCGTGAGTGTACCCTAGACTTTGACGACTTCTTCGAAATGGCTTGGACAGTCTGCCTTCATAATCAGCCCTTTTAAACTGCAGAGAAAGCTGATCCATACAGACATCCGACGAAATACCTTCTCGCAAAGGACTTTTAGAGCATAGAACGGACTTCCTGGTGCGGTGGTTCTTCCCGCAAATGTTAAATCCTTTAAGTGCAGTCTAGACACCACTTTGCTCAGAAAATATCCTACGTATAATCATGATTGTGTCTGTGGCAGTTATTCGCGCCTAGCTCACACACACTGATAACTTTTAAATTTCTAGAATTACTGATGTGAAAATTGAGTCCACTGCTATTTTGAGATATGAATTGGGAATTCAAGGGCAAAAGACTCATTTCCTTAGTGAACTGCTTAAAGTGACATATTTCCGTTCCCTATAGTTCAGAATATTTACTGAGCACATGCAGTAGATTTGGCGACCCTGCGGAAAACATAACAGACATGTGCACAAGTTTAAGTAAAGGCAACTGAGGAGTTTATTCGTTGACAGGCTCACTGTATTTTGAAATACTGGAGAAGGTAAAAATGGGAGACTGTCATCCTTAGTATGAACCAAGGATGGCATGATTGTAATTTGCAACTATTTGCGTTTGGCCTAAGCAGAAGGCCGATTAGGTGCAATAACGTCTTCCATTCAATTTGCTAAGCGACTCCCAAGTAAACAGACATGCAGTTTTTGCTTAGATGTTTGTCATAAACAAGCTTTCGAGATGCTAATTGGATATGTTGAAAATCGGCAGTAAAAAAGGTTATCCAACGAACTTCAGTGGACGTCAAGACTCTTTGAAGATGAGAAAGGATCACCCGTAAATGGTTTGTGGTGACCAATGGAAAAAGTCGTCCAGCAACAGACAACAGACCTGCTTCCTCACTACGTCATATAGGAGTGAACAGGTGCACGCTTATTTGCGATGTTTCATGTTCGTTTTGCGCGCGTGTCTGTCTC